TTCCACGTCCTGCCAACCAACCAACCGCCTCTCGGTCCAGATCCAGAGCTGAGACAGCGGCCCGCAGGCCCCTCGGTGGAGCATGGGCCCAACAGCCCCTTGCACGGCGCTTCATCATCTGTTCCCCGCTTCCCTTCCCATCCTCTCCTCTCGCTGGCTGGCCCTTCCCTTCCCGCACGCTCTCAACCAGCCCCCCTGCTCCTTCCTAGCCCGGCTTGGGCACGGGCTGCTCCCTCACCTAAACCACACCAGCCGCACCCCTTCGTCTGCGTGAGGCCTGCTCACTCTTCCGACGGAGACTCGTGCGCCACCGCCTCTGGCCCCAGGGTCCCGCCCATGTTCACACCGTGACCCTGTGTCTGTCTCTGTCCCAGCACTTTTCTCACTGCTGGGGCTGCTCCGTGACCCTGAAGCTGGGGACAGTGTCATGCTGCCGTGTGTCCCTAGGGCATTGCACAGTGCCCATTACAGAGAACTGCTGAATGAATGAATGAACGAACGAATGAATGAATGAATGAATGAACAAATGAACAAACATGGGCTTTGTGGGCAATCCAACCTGGGTTTGAAGACAGGGTCTCCCACTCACAGACTGAGTTAAAACCTCAGGCAGTTTACTCATCTCAGAGTTGCAGTGTCTTTATCAGTTAATTGGGAATAAAAATATTATCATGTCAAAGGGGCTGTTAGGAGACTTTAACACGTATGTAAAAACTGGCCCACACAGCTTACGCGGAGCAAAGAACAAGGAGAGCGATAGCATCTAAATGGTTAAGCCCACCTTTCAGCGTAAGTCCGAAGTGGTCCACTCACCGAAACGTTTTCTTATTCTGGGAGGCGTTTCCATCAATGCCAAGAATTACAAAAACATATTACCCAGAGCATTGCATTCTGTCCACAGACGAAGTCCACATGGACACCCTTACCGAGGGTGACCCACTCGCTCTCACGCCCCTCTTGGGTGGAGGAGGGGGCTGGAGCGGGCAGACCACCCTGGGAGGGCCCTGGGGGCCACACTGTCACCGGCATGGCCTGCCCCATCCTCCTCTCCCCTGGCTCCCCCAGGGTCCAAGGTCCAGACGGGACTCGCGCCCCATCCCCTACGCCGACAGTACTCAGCCCCCCGTGTCTGGAGAGCTCCTCTGCACTTCTGTGAACAAACATCTGTCCCCCACCTGCTGGTCCCTCATTACCTGCTTCTCTCTCCCCGCAGGCTGTGAGCAGCGGGAGCAGGGGACAGACGCCCCGCTCACCTGCGCAGGCCCCGCTGCAGGGCCTGGAGGGGTCACAGGCGCTCAGGGCCTGACGGACGACTGCCCAGTGGCTCTTTTCGGGACGCCGGCCACCATGCTGCCCGTGCAGGTGTGGGCACCTGGGCCACGGTGGACCATGTCCCCCCCCCCCCGCCCGCCCGGGTTTTCAGACTCAGGACAGAGAGTACCTCCAGACCATCGTGCCCTGGTGGCTTGGAGCTCGAGGCCAGGTCCCTGACACGCGGAGAAGGCCCGTCTGGGAAGAGGGAGAGCTGAAGGACAGGGAGGAAGAGTCCTGGCGGCGGGAGGGGCCGGGTTCAGCGTCCCTGAAGCCCCGACGGGCTGGCCCCCCACCTGCTTGGGTTCTCAACACTTTAGTGACCAAATAAACGCGTGCCCTCAAAGAAAATTCATCTTGAACTTCGACAGCACGAAAGCAGTTAGGTCCGACAGAACTGCCCACCGGAACCAGATGGGCAGACCATCGCCCAGGCTGGGAGTTGGGGGATAAACAGCTCTCTTGTCCCCCAGGGAGGGAGCCCCTCCTTTAGTTCGCACGACCTCTCGGCCGCCCGGGAGGGCAGTGAGCTCACAGACCTGCCCAAAGCTCATTTCCACAGGTCCTGTCCCTTCTCTGACTCACTCCCCATGCCCTCACTGTGCTCCCTGGAACCACCTCCCAAAACACTCTTTGCACACTCCTCCTCCTTCTAAAAAGAAATCCCCAAGAGGAACACAGTAAAAGGGATGCAGAGGAGAGGCCCCGAATAAAACACTAGTCAGTCGCCCAGACGACCACTCTTCTTGCTGGCTGCCTGGAGACGGGAAGAATCTCTACATATGTAAATACACTTTTGTTAAGTCATTAAGCTTGTAGAAATAAGAAATTAATTAGCATTAGCATGTTGAATCACTTAGGTGTCAGTAGCTAATATGGCTAATTGACATTTAATAAGTCTTGCTATCTAATTTACTATGAATTGCATTAAATGCTAATTAATTGCTTAGCTTTTCTTTACACAATTATTATATGTTAATGTGCATTTAATAGCTGATTATTTGGGTGACGGTCCTGATGGCAAAAAAAGTTACCTGGTAATTCTGGTTCGAACAACAGATTCGGCACACTACTGAAGTCATCCTCTTAAACATAAATTAAGGGATTCATTAACATAATTTAGAACCACTGAAAAGTAATCGTCAGTGTACTACTGTGCCGCAGGCCCTGAGTTTGTTCGTCTGCTGTCGGCCTCCACGGCGCACAGAGCCGTGCCCGCCCGTGCCGTGAGGCCGGTTCCCGTGTGGGAAGCAGGGGGTAGCCCGCCTCACAGCGCATTGTTCTCGGCCGTGTGTCTGTCTCGGAAGGCTCACTACCAGAGTCCTGTGGCCGACACAACAGCCAGGGCGTCCCATCAGAAGCATCATGTCTACAACGAGGGAGGTGAGAGTCCTGCTTTGCTTTGCCGGATCCAGCCACACTTGGAGTATTTTGTCCATTCTAGGAGTGACACGTTTAAAGAGATGTAACTTCCATCATGTACAGACTGGTGACGAAGTTGAGGATTAGTCAGCCTGGGGCCGCAGAATCTCTCTCTTCAGATACGTGACGAGGTTTGTGGAAGATAAATTGGTTCTATCTTTTTTAACATATTGACTCAGTTGAGAGGACTAGGATCATGCGTTTGAAGTCAGAGGAAGACAGTTTTGGACTCCGTCGGAGCTGTCTGAGACTGCAATGAGCTGTCTTCAGAGTGATGAGCTCCCTGTCACTGGAGGAGTTCAAGAGCAGTCTCGGCAGTCTTTTGTGCAGAGCTTTGGACCCTTGGCTGCAGGAGGTGGCCTTTCTTATCCCTCCCAAGATAGAGAGTCCATGAACGTCAGGCTAAATTGCTTGCTCAACCATCTCACTGGCTGGATACGGTCCAGAGACCTCATTACCTGGTCCACGTTCAATTTTAGGAAAAATCTCATGAGTGGCCATAAGCACGTGGGATGCGATTCTGATTGGCTGCTTGGCTTTGATGCAGTCTCGCTGTGTTGGTGAGAAAAGGCAGACTCGGGAGGACCGTTGGACTTGACTTCCCTGGTTCCACCGCCCCACACTCCCCTTCAGGGTCGGAGGCAATGTGTAGAAGGGAACAGTGAGGCCGCTGGAGTCATTTGTCTTCGACAGGACGGACCAGGAGAAAGGGCAGACCCCTGGCAGGCAAAGAACCTTAATGAAGTTTGTAATGGACCACAGAATTATCAGCCTCCTGATCAAAGCAAGCACAGACCACAGAAACTATTAATTAGGGCTCTCACTATCTCCCTTTTTCCATTTCCTTCTTTATGGTTGTTGCTGGGGGTAACCACTCTAATTGTTCCCAGCCTTTCAAGGATCAAAAGCGGCTTTTCTGTCTCAGATTTCAAAGGGCCGTTGGGGGTCGGGTGTCTGGTGCAGCCGCTGGCAGGCTCCGAGGGTCCGATGTTCCCCGCTTTGCCCTTTGGGGGGGCGGAGGCAGGCTGTCCTGTGCCAAGTGCCTGCTCCCTCGTGCCCGCCCTACAATGTTCCGCCCCAGAATACTCATGTTGACCTTCCAAATCTGATTCGAAATTCCTCTCTCCCGAGGAGCCTTTTCTGACTGCGGCCGCCTGTCCCCCGCCCCTTCCCCACGGCTGCGCTTCCTGCCTGCCGGTCCCTGCTGCTGGGCCAGGGCACTGGGTTCGTGTCAGCTATATTCTGACCTTGAAACTGTCCCCGGACTTGCAGTGTAGACACATAGCTAGCAAAGAACAATATTCAGAATATTTATAACCAGCATAGTAATATAAATCATTATCTAGGCCAACACAGAAATTAAAAGTTTCAAGTCCGTTACCTGTTGTTCTCGAACTGCAGCTGCCTACCATGTGACGCAGGCCGTGCTCCCCTGCATCATTCGTCGAACCGTTTCAATCAAATCCTATTCGTGTTTGATTTTCAAAACCTGCCGGCGCGACCTTTGGTTTGACGCAGCTGTCACTCACTGAACGATGGCCCTCTCTGTCACCGGATGTAGGGACCACATCAAACTCTTCCAGTCGCTTTCCTACTCAGTGGCTGGCCAGGAGGTCCCCCGGGGGGGAGCCTCTGCTGCAGAAAGCTCACCCCGGCCAGTGTGCACGCGACGCCAGCGCTCCCCGCGGGCCCAGAGGCCAGCACCTGTCCCAGGTGCTCCTGACCTGCTGTCCCCCAACGGCCCGCCCCGCACCTGCCCCAGTGTCCCATCAGCACGGGGCCGCTGTGGAGGGGGGAGGAAGGTGGAGTGCACCCCCACAACCTCAGTCAGCTCAGCAGCTGCTGGGGCTTCCCAGACTTGCTCCCGCTGCTCCCTGACCTCACTGTCACCACCGTTGCCCCTCCAGGCAATGTCAGTGGGGGCTGAGGGTCTCGGCTGCCACCCTCTTTACCAGTGTGTGTGAGGGGGTGTGTAGCTCACTGCTTCCACAGCTGGCTCACCTCACTGATGGCTCCACATAGCCGCCCCACCCCCTGCACCCCGGCCCCTCACTAAGGGCAGGTGTTCTAGAAGGCACTGCCCCTTTCCCTAGGGATAGCACAGGGCCCCAGGATAGCAACTCATGACATGGCAGTTTTGCCAGCCCATCAGACCTCAGAAATGGCCCCCACAGTCTGCCTCTCCCAACACACCTCCAGGTAAGTTGTGGGCCCGGTCCCCGTCCTCTGCTCCCCGACAGACACTGAAGCCATGACCTGACTATTTATACGTCTTTTTGGAATATAATATAGGAATACAATATAATAATAGATTTGGCAATATAATACAGTAAACAGAGCCCCCTGGTTCTCTTCCTGGGGGTGTCAAGGGTAACCAGAAGCCACAGAGACAAGGGCAGCCGCAGCACCTGTAGGAATCTCAGTGCACTCGGGAGGTGGGCGGAGACAGGCGGCTCCCCCGTGGGGGCGGGAGGGGCGGGGACCCAGAGCGGAAGGAAGGACCCGGGACCACCGTCTACGCAAGCAGGCCCCGGTTGTCGGAAACGGCTTTCTGTGGCCTCTGGTGGTTCGAGCCTCAACAAATGCAGAAAGATGAACTGGGGTCCCCGTCGGGGCTGAGATTCTCCGAGGCGGAGATCACTGGCAAGAGTCCGTCCTCCCCACACACAGCACTTGTGCTCCTCGTCCTTGTGGGACCGGGGATCCGGTGCATCCGGAGAAGAGCGTGGACGTGTTAGGTCAGGATGGGAATGGCAACGACAACCAGCCAACCCGGGGCTGGCATCCCTCGCTCCGCTCAGCCCGCACCTCCGTCCCCAGAAAGTCGGTCCCTTCGAAGACGTGGACGGAGGTGGTACAACAGCTGGGCTGCGGTCGCCCCGGTGGCTGACGTGAGGCACGTCCGTCCGGCGGCCTCAGCAGGGGCGCAGGGACCCTGTCGGCAAGACACACGTGTTGGGAAGTGCTGCGGTTCAGTCCCGACACCTGGACCAACGGCACCCGTTTCGGAGGGCCGTTTCCGGGGAAACGGACAAGGTACTGGCCTCAAGGGGGCTCTGTGAATGGCAGTGGTGGCGTGGATCCGGCCCCCATGCTCAGTCTGACGGCCACAGGGGCCTGTCCCCTGCACCAAACACGCTGGGAGAGTGTGGGCTCTGAAGTCACACTCAGCCCAAACCCTGGCTCCGCCCCTCCTTCCGTGTAATCCTGGGCCCGTTGCTTCTCAGCGCACTCCCCTCCCCCACCACTGAAAAGGGCGCTGGCCATCCAGGCAGGTGGGTGTGAACATGGGAAGGGATCCTGCACGTAAGGATTTCAGAACAGAGCCCTTTCCCACTCACCCCTCAGACGGGGACGTGTGGGCATGGGCGGGTTTCACAGCCTGTGCAGGGAGGTGACCCCTCTGGAAGGGTGATCGCCACCCCCCCAACCCCCACTCCCACCCCCACCCCGCACAGCCTCAGCTGGGGGACCCGGAGTTTGCTCCTGTAACGATTCCACCTGAAGCTCGGCCAACTGGGCTGTGCTGTCGGAGCAGCAGGCCCGCCAGGAGCCACTTGCTGCACCGAGCCCGGCCCAGCTTCCCAGCCCTCTGCGAGCCACTAACAACAGGCATCGGGGGCCAGGGCAACTAAAATTCCCTTCCTGCAACGTGGTGGCCCATGCCCCACAGACGCAGGGAGGCAGGCAGGGGCTTCGGGAACCCTGGGTCCACAGCTGCGTGGCCACAGCTGGGCGGGGGCAGGGCAGGAAGAAGAACAGACAGGCCTGTGGGCCCATCGGCATCATGGGAGCACACAGCAGCCACGGGGTGCGTCCCGGAAGCCCCGGGGGCCACAGAGCACCCAAGGCAGTGAGGTAGTTCGTGGCCAGCACCCTACAGCCAGCAGGGCAGAGGTCAACGGTGAGTGTCTGAGGACACCCAAGGCTTCTTTAGCATTTGTCTCCCCACTCTGATCTGTGCTGCTCCCCACTAAGACCCCCACGCTGCTTGTGAACTCTTCTCTTCCACAAATGGACGAGCCCTCGCCCTGGAAGGAAGACGTGTCCTGTCCCCAGCCCAGCCCCCAACACCCAGCCGTCCAGAGCTGCTCCCATCTGCAGGAGGGAAGATGGGAAGTCCCCTTCGCTGAGCACTCACCGCTGACCAGTCCTGTGAGGCCGGCGCTGTGATTTCCCTCATCTCACAGATGAGGGGCCCGAGGCTCGGAGAAACGAAGTAACTTGTCCAAAGCTCCTCGGCAGGGCTGGTCCGTGGCCCGGCCCGGGTTCCAGGCTTTCTCGATCCACCTGCAGCTCCTCTGCCCCGCCTTCTCCGTCACTGGTTCTCCTGTGGGGGGCGAACTGGCCCCGCAGGGGACATCAGCGCTGTCCAGGAATGATTCTGGTGGTCGCGGCTATGGGAGGGGGTGCTGTTGGCAACTAGGCAGCAGCGACCAGGGATGCTGCCGGTCTCCCGAGACGCCCAGGACAGCCCTCTACACGGAAGAGCGTCCGGCACCACGCGCCCAGGGGGCCGAGGCGGGAACCCCTGCCACACCTCCCGCCGCAGCTGCGCCTCAGCTCCCGGGGCTGTCCGACCGGTGCTGAGCCGGAGTTAGCTGGGGAGCTTGTCAAAATCCGGGCCTTGAGTCCCGCCCCAGACACTCGCACGCTCTGAGTGGGTGGAGGCCCGGAAATCTGAATTTTGGCAAGTTGGCGACCGCCCCCCTCTCCTCGGAGATTCCCATTCAGGCACCTGGACACCACACTGGGAACAGAAGCCAAGAGGGAAATTGTAGAGGGCAGGTGCCAGGTCCCTGCCAGCTCTGGCACAAGGTAAGCACTTGAAAAACATTCCCAAATAAGGAAACACACACACACACACACACACACACACACACACACACACACACTCACACACCCCTTAGAGCAACCGAGGGGCCACGTAGTCACAAAACAGAGCTCCCCGCTGAGGCCCACGGCCAATTTCGTGGCCTCCCTCACCAGCATATCAATTACCTGACAAACGGCTCACCTTGACCAGCGGTCACTGGAAGCGTGGATCAGCATGCCTGGCCCCCAGCTCTTCTTTGGATACGAACAAGCCACTCTGTCACACCGATGGGGCCGTCTGGATCAGCAGCTGAAGTAGGAATGAGTGAAACCACAGGGGCATTGTCAAGATTAACACGCAGGTAGGTCTGGACTTGGAAAGGCACCAGGTAACAGCACGCCTGGACGGGGAGGCAGAGTAATGCAAACGGACTGGAGACAAAGGGAAACCAGATGGAAAGTGACAAGCCCAAAGGGGAGCGGCAAGAGCTAATGGGCCGAGTGACTAAGATTCCACCGGGCCTGCCACTTGGCTGTTTCCTCCCGTCGTCTGGGGAACACCCCCAGGACTCAGCTCCTCAGCATCTGGATGGATGGCGCACCCTGCGCTGTGTCAATAGCAGCCCCCCTATTGTTATCAATTTGGCTCCACAGATGCTCGCACAGACAGGGAAGACAAATGAGACAGCACCGTGGGAGAGAAGAGCCGTGCTCCCCGAGCATCCTGGCTCTGGAGGAAGGTTTGCCAAAGGAACCCGGAGCAAGGCTCGCTGATCCACACTTCCACTGATGTCTGCGGGCAGCCCGGCCGGGGTCAAGAACAAAGAAGCCTGTCTCCCTTCCTTCCTTCCTCCTTCCGTTCTTCCTTCCTTCTTCTTTCCTCCATTCTTCCTTCCTTCCTCCATCCTTCTTTCCTCCCTTTCTCCCTTCCTTCCTTCCTCCCTTCTTTCCTTCTATCCCAGAGTATGCAACTTTGTTGGCCCCAGTGGAAAACGCCCTCCACCCAGACTACTAGAGAACTCTTGAGCAAGGACTTGGAGGGATGGGTGTTCAGCCTGAGGTTTAAGCTGGTGGCAGCTTTGCTTTGGTCTCTGCCGCTCAGACACTGGCCTTGGATGGGGCAGCGGGACTCCCTCTGTGGGACTGAAGGTGTTACCAGGTCGAGCCTCCAAGCTGAGAAGGACCCACAGGAAGAAGATACTCTCAGCTGTCAGGATGACAAAGTGGGAGGTCTTGACAGGCCCTGGATCATTGTGTGAACAGAATTATGCCAAGTAGTTCTCATGGGCACCTGGCGTACTGCAGATTCTCACTACATGCCAGGGTGCAGTAGGTGCTCGATGAATAGTTGTTGAGCGGGCGAATTAACCCTCCTGGCAGCAATGGACTTAAAGAACGATGGGCCCCCTTTTCACAGGCCAACTCCTTCTACATTCCCTCTACTCTCACGCTGGCTATTTTATGCATCTTGAAAATCTAAAGGGAAACCCAGATTCTGATACCCTTAACATCTCCAACGTGCACGGTGGCCCACTTCCCAGCCTTCGCCAGTACCTGCTGCCTGGGGTAAACTGTGGGACTTGGGCTACCTTCCCTTAGATTTCGACTTCCACGGCTTCCGGGGGGCCAGGCACGGACCGAAGCTGGGCCATGATGCACACAAAAAACTGCCATGGAATTCCCAGCAATGAAGCCCCAGGACTAGACAGTGGGGATACAATGATTAGCAAATAACAGACGTGACCTTTTTTCTTCTAAACTGTATTCCAGAGAGAACGCTATTAATCAAATGGTGATGGAATTATGAGGCTCAGCTGTGATAATTGAGTGCTCTGGATGACAGCTCCAGGGCAGGAAGCTGAGAGCACTTGACAATGATGACCCAACAAAGTTGGGGGCAATCAAGAAAGTCTCCCTTGAAGAAGTGGTTATTTTAGCGGAGAGCAGGATGATGGGTAGAATTTCAAGATAATGAGGTGGGAGGGCGTAGTTTCCTGGGCAGAGGCTCAGGAGGTTGAAAACAAGGCCAAGGACAGGCGAGGGAAGAGCGGAAGCCGGTGCGAGCGAGGCATGGGCGGGCTGGCAACACACCTCGGTGGGCGGCTGCCCAGACGTGCCTTCCCCATGGGGTCCGCTCTCGGGGGCCTCGACTAGCGGGGAGCCCGCATGGCAGAAACAGAGAGAGGAGAGAGGAAAGGAGAGAGGAGCGACCAGATGTTGTGGTTGGAGAGACAGGCGGGCCAGAAAGGGCAGGATGTCAAGGACTCGGAATTTTACTCTGAACTCAAGGGGATTGCTTTACGGGCTTTTACATAAGGGCCTCAGGGGATTTGCACCTTTTTTTTTTTAAGTTTCTTCTGGCCCCGTATAGAGAATGGCCAGAATGTTACAGAAAGGTCAAGGTGGCTCTGGGAGAACACTGGAGAAGCTGCAGTAGCCATCGAGGGACTGAAGTAGTATCATGTGAACTTGGGGTTGTTAAGAAGGGTGGAGAGAGCAGGTCTGATGTAAGAAACATTTGGAAAGTAAAATCTACGCATTTGATGACGGGCTGCATACAGGGTATGTGGGAAGGGCAGATGGCAGGGCCGACGGGGAGCTCACCTGGTGGAAGGTGGCATGGGGCACACCAGGCAAGTCCCTGGTTGGATGGGGAGGGGCAGAGGCTTTGTCGTGCTCATGTGACGTTAGCAGTGCATTTGAGAAAACAACAACAAAAAAAGACATCAGGTAGGCCGATGGATTTGTGGCTCTTGAGCTCAAGCAAGAATGAGATGATTTATGACTTGGGGTCACAAATCCGTGTGGTCACTGAAGGCGAGAGTGGCCTCGCCCCCACACTGGGCCACTGGGGACACGGTGCAGCCTGAGAACGGCAGAGGCGGGAGGAGGTTGTATCTGTGGGGGTGGGGGGGGAGTGGATGGAGGGGCAGGAGGGGAACCGGACATGTGGCATCAGTCAGTCTCTCTCCCACGGCTCAGGGGCTGGGACTCGGGGATCAGAGCCCACTGGCTTTAAGCACCAGAACTCGGGGGGCACGGTGAGCGGGGCCATGTCTGTCCCCTGCACACGGTGCCAGGGAAGCCATTCTGCGGCGAGCAGTGCAGGTGGCAGAGAGGTGGACGCAGAGAGAGGAGGCAGCCTCACCGCCTAGCAGACGGAGAGGTGTGAGAGGGCTGACTACGAGCTCCCTGCCGTCCCTGCCCGCTCCGGGGCCCGGGAGTCCCTTGCACCCTTCCTGAAAAGTCCTCTGTGCTAAGCTGATTCGAGTGGGTTCATCCTTGCCGGTGACGCACGAAGACTGGAGGGGCAAGCTGTGTGCTGGAGGCAGGGTGCCGGCTGGCCTGGGCCGGGCTGTCAGGGACCAGCGGAGCCAGCCGGTGACAGAAGACACATCTGGAACCAGGCGCCAGGTGCTCGGCCCTTTCGCACAGGTTCTCCCAACCTGGAATTTGGGTGAGAACAGAGACCTGGCGGCTTCTCCAGGTCCCAGGGCTAGTGCGCAAGAGATCAGGGCCGTACCGAGTCCTTGTGGTGTGACGTGCAGACAGCCGCTGGGGGGGAGAAAAGAGTGGCCGCTCAGCGATGCACGGAGAAGGATCTACAAGGAGAGATCATTAGGCGCCAGTATGGATTTTTTTAGTTGGCGATTAATGGAATAAAAATGGCACCCAGGAAGGATGATTAGAATCGATTTGAGAAGTAAGGATTAAAGGGGAAAGCTGGGGGCGGGGAAGTCCATCCCCATGTCTGGTCCTAGTGGGAAGGGGCAGTGTCTCCTGCCCCCGCCCCAGCAGCAGGCGGTGGAGAAGGCAGAGAGAACTGGGTAGCAAGCCACGCTGCGTGGGCTCGGATGGAGATAAAGCTTCAGCTAATAGCTGAAGAGCCCTCCCAAGGCATGAGCTGACTTGCTTGGGTTGGTTTGCATTCTTGTTGACTTCATAGTCCCTCGTACCCCAGGCCTTGCAAACCTCTCTGTGGTCCTCGCTCACCCAGGGGTGCGAGATGACGGCAAAGGGCGAGATCAGCTCGGGAGAGGGGATCTGTGGTGACCGGGACGCCCACCGAAGCCCCCACAGTGCAGGGGACGGGGGGACGGGAAGCCTGTGCTTGCCCCTTGACCGGAGTCCCAGAGTCTGAGGATGGGGGTGGGGCGGGGCTGTCCCAAAAAGGGGGGGGTTTTGAGTTGAGGATGGGAGAAGCGGCTTGGAGCATGGATGCTCAGGAAAAGAAGGGCGACCCAAGGAGCGGGCTGCTGCTGATTGCTGAGAGTCCGGAGCAGGGGACTGGCGGGCATGGGAGAGGACAGTCTGGGAATGCGGGGCTTCTGCGGGAATGTGGGGACGGCGCAGGAAATCGGAACCGGACAGAGCAGACCCGGGAGCAGGGCGGGGCCGGCGTGGGAACGAGTGCGGGGAGCCCACCCGAGCTGACCTGGCAAGGCCCCCCCCCGTCCTAAAAAGAGGTTCCAGCTCCGGGGGTATGAGGCAGGGACCTACGGAGACTGTGAACCCGACGAGGCAGGTGACTGGCGCGTTTCCATCAGGCCAACGGCTTTCACAGCTTTCCCGTCGGAAAGGAAACCCCGTCAGTCAGTTGGTCCCAGCTTTATTCACGCTGCTTCACCTGGCATGTCACCGAGCGGGAGCCGTCAAGGGGGCTCTCTGGTTCCCCCTCCTCCGGCGGCCCAGGTGGTCTGACGGCCTGAGAGACCCACAGCGAGAAATGAACTGCTGCGGCCTCCAGCTTTAGGGCGTGTGTCTCTGTGTGCATGTGTGTGTCTCTGTGTGCACACGTGTGTCTCTGTGTGCACGCGGGGCTTGTGTGTGCACACCTGGGCACCCGCCCAGTGTGCGAGTGTCGGGACTGGGCACAAGAAAGCAGAAGCAGCCTTGGACGGGCCGCTGGGTGTGGGTGCTGCCTCTGCTGCTCAGGATCCCCGTGTGGCCAGTAGCTGACTCGCCTGCCACCTGGGGAGGGGGGGGGGCATAATACAAGTCCCCAAGTCTCAGAGGTTGTCATGGGGTTCAGGACACAAGGGACAAAAACATTCCCTTGTGATCAATAAATGCGGTTGACAATTACAGCTGTCCTCAGTCCGCAGGGGAGAGGATCAAGCTGGAGTTCCGTGGAGGCTGATTTGACGCTGCCCCTCTGACATCCTGGACCCCCAATTGTCTCAGAACCCCCACGCCAGCTCCTGACCTTGGCCTGACTCCCCCGACAGCGTCCCGTGCTCCGGCTCACAGGCTGCCGACCCTGGCCAGGGAGGGCCAGCAAACCCATTTCTGTAGGGGCGCCCTAGACTCCACCCTTCATTAATTCAACAGACATTTATTGA